TGTTGTGACCCAAGTGCAGGACCCAGCATCACACACCTTGACACCAGGGTTGAGGAGACCAGCAGCTCTCGGGTAGCTCCTCAAAATGTGCATTGTCAAAGGCTGAAACGTCAGTACCCAGCAGCGAGGACCAGCTGAGTGCTATGAAAGCACTGGACCAACATCACCTTGATCTTGAGGGGCTCCAGATGGTCTCACTTCCAAAGCAGGCTTGACGGCTGCCCTCACACAACACCTACCTATGGAATTTCACCCACTGTGTTCATCATTTTTGGCCACAATCCCGTTAAAGCAGGAACCCACCAAGACAAACAACTGCAGGGCTGAACTTCCACCTGGCTGTGCTGAGCAGCCTGCAGAAGACCTTCAACATGGCCTTCACCTTCTACAGACTGCACTGGGAAACTTCCACCTCCCATTCACCCTCATCGCTCTCCACAGCGGGGAATGAAGGTCCCCAGAGTCAGCCCCTCAAACTCACCGTCATCAGCTCCTTCTGGAAAGATTTCCTCTCCTTGTTCTCGGTGTTGTTGCAGTCTTCCTTCAGCTTCTCCAAGACGGAGGCCACACGCTCCGGCTCGCTGTCCAACTCCGCTCGGCAGAAAAAAGTCAGCGGCAAGTTCAAGTACCCCAGAGCATCGGCGAAGGACCGCCAGCTGCTGAGGTTCTCCATGAGCAGAGTCCTCACAGAGGCGTAGATGTAGGTTAGGAACTTGCAAGGCCTCAGGATCTGCTCCAACAACAAGCTGGTGGTGAGATCTGGCCCAGAGAAGTAGCTGGGCTTGACTTTTCCAACCACCAGAACATTTTTGGTGTGTACAAGGCCTACTTTTCCCTGGTAGTAACCAATATACCACTCCTTGGTCCACAGTTGGCCTTTTAACTTGATCTTCTCCTCACTGAGGAGGGCTACGACGTCTCCTTTCTTGTACTCCAGCAAATAGTGGTTCTTGCTTTGCCTCACCACCGTCTTCAGCAGCTTCCCATACTTCAAGCTCAACACTGGCCGGTCCTGAAAAACTGGATACTTGGTGGTGGCAGCCAGAGGTGAAAGGATGATCTTTCCAACCTCATTCTTCTTGAGGAACCGTCTCTGCCCTGTCGGTTTGATGGCACTTTTTGGAGGAGGTTGTGGCGTTTGGACACAGAATTGGGTCAAAATGGCATCTTTGTCATCCTTGACCTGTATCCTTAGTGTGAAGTCTGAGAGGTCATTGGGGTCGTGGGACACAATGGGGAAGATAAGGCGGCTGACCTTGCCCAGCTTCATCTGGAAGCCTCGCACGATTTTGGCTTGCTCGCTAGCTTTCACCTCATAGTTGGTCATGTTGGAGAACATGCAGAGTTTGAGGTCCTGAGGTCGGGACAGAGCAAACTGATGTTTACCCCAGAGTTGGAGAGCAACAGGAGCCGGGTTGTGAGACTGTCTGGTGACCTCGTTCACCAGGAGAGTCTTGGGTGCGCATTCGTGCCCGAATATGGCCACGACGGTTTTAAAGGAAGGGTGGATGTGTTTTGGGCCGTAGACACCAACCGTGATCTTCTTGTTGATGTAATCCCAAACCGTGTAAGGGTAGAGGATGTTCTGCCCTTGGGCTACGGCTGCGATGTACATGCAAGGTTCCAGGTTCTCCAGCTGCACCTGGATCGTGTCCCCATAGGAATAGCTCAGCTGCATCGGTGTGTACGGCCCCTCTTTCAAGTCGCTCCGCAGGCACTGCAATCCCACCAAACTCTTGCTCATGATGTCGTTCTTGACCTCTGCTGACACTTTCATCTCTAGAACGATGAAGGTTTTCACCTCCATGTTGCTGAGTTTGATCTGTAGGACCGGGCTGATGGTGCTGCACTTGTCACTGTTCAGCTCCAGTGGTGGATCCAGCATCGCTTTCATGGAGATCTGTTGTGTCTCCCCAGGGCACACGTGACCTTCAGGAACGTGGATGCTGATATTGGTGTCTGGAAGCTGAACAGCTCCACCAGAACTATCCAGCTTGCAGACAATGTTGGTCTCCACAGGTTGTGTTTGACCCCAGCCAGGATTCTGACCTAGTAAATCCAAGTCATGGCAAGACCGAGCCAACTTCCTGTGGTTCAACCACGCTGTCCTAAAATCTTCCCGGCTCTGGAACTGCTCAGGGGTGGGAGACTTCAAACCACTGAAGAAACCTGATGACGTTGGAGCATCTGACTTGGCCTGAAGAACAGATAGTTCAGACAAACTGTAGGAGCGTTTACTCCTGAAAAAGGGATTGTCCCTTCTCACAGGTTGTTCCAGATCCAGCCTGTTTGTAGATGGAAACTCATCAAAAATGTTACCCAAGCTGCTATTAGCGGCCAGACTGGAGCCGGTTGAAGCAGGAGCCCCCGTGTCGAAGAGCAGCAAGTCAACAGCGACGCTGGACTCTCTGTCTGAGCTGGGCACCGTTGGCAAATTCCCATTGAGAAACGGGTTTGTCTGGACACCATTCAAGAAAGGGTTGTTATTGTAGGTTTTCAGAGAGTTTCTTTTCACATCAGTCCATTCTCCAAGCAGGTCCAGCTCCTTGACTCCCTCATCAGGGCTCTCCAGTAGGTTGTCTATCATCCCGCTGTCTGTTAAGGAGGAGTTGCGGTAGTTGACAGGCTGGACGTAGGAGGAAGGGATGTAACCCATTTCCGTGGTGTTGTGAGCGTACCACCACTCGCCTCCCGACGTGTCTAAGACATAAAGGTGGTCTCCCTTGGAGAACTTCAAAGTGGTGAAATTAGTGGGACAATAATCTTTGATTGCTATTACTTCCTTGGCGTTTCCAAAGGAGGTGGGATTGTCAACCAGCAAGGCACTAGGAGAAGGCACTGCAAAGCCAAGAAGAAAACAGCAGGGTAAGTAAGTGATCCACAAGAGAGTCACAATTTACTTGTGATCATTTATTTCAGCTCAGCAATTTGTGTGACTTTAAGCAGTGAAGGAAGGCAGCTTTACAACCTCTCTGTCCTGGTCTCACCAGGATGGAGTTAATTGTCTTCTCAGTAGCTGCAATAGCTGTGGTTTGGTTTCAGTCTGGGATTTGTTATGAGAAGAATGTTAATAATGTACTGATGTTTTTAGTTGCTGCTGGAAGTCCAAGGTCATCGTGATTTGCTGGTCTGCAAGTGCAAAGGGCTGGGATGGGGGAAGTGTAGTAATTAGCAAACCCCAAATTGACATTTGGATATGCTAATGAGATATCCCATATCATATCTCATCATGGTCAGTATATTAACCAGGGCTGACTGGGAATTGAGGATATTCTCTCAGGGATCACTCAGGCTTTTGCTCTTCCAGGATTGTGATTTTTGTCTCTGCTCTTTCCCCCTTTAAAATATTTAAACAAAACTTTTCCCTCCGCTACTTCCGATACATTCACATTCCCCTTCCCCAAAGGCCTCCAGGATCTAAAGGGATGGGCATTAACACAACAAGAGGGAGCTGAGACAGGAGAAGCAGCAATTTGTTATCCTCTGATGACAACAAGCCTCCCCCTTGATGCTCAGCCCCACGCAGCTGCTCCCGGTACGAGAGACACCAGCGTCCTGCAGCCTCACTAAACTCCCCGGGGAACGATGCGCAAGGTGATGTGATGGAGGAAGTTCTGAGGGAGTGGAGTCACATCTTATCAGCTCTTCTTTCCACCTGCTGTGTTGGGATTTATGGTCCTACAGGTACATGCTAGAAAGGCAGGAACCCCCTGAAATGTTCACGTTTGAAATAACAGAAGTTAATTAGGGGGTTAATCATTAATTCTCAACAATGGCTACGTAGGAAGAGCCATTAACCTACTAGTTTGCTCAGTGGTATCTCAAGGTCTTTGGCCAGCAGCTCTTTAGCGCTGCTGTGGCACTCACCCTGCACATAATTACCTGTGCTGCTGCTGCTGGTGAATGCCTCCTCTTCAAAGAGATAACCTGAGGTAAGATAAACCCCAGATAACTTCCAGCACAGGCTAAAAGAGCTCTTGCTCTACTGTAACCCCTCTCCTGCACGTGTGAGACGTGTTTCAGCGTAAGAAACAACTCAGGGCATCTCATACTCCTACTTTTTCACGTCACATCAACCAAAAAAACCCCAGCATCTCACTCCTTTTACAGAGCACCGATATTTTGAAGCTCCTCAACAAAAAAATTAACTCCATCTTTAAAGAACATCATGTAGTTTGAACCCTCAAAAAGAAGGGCTCCTGCAGTGCTGCTGTGCTCCAGTGTCCAGCTGAAAGTTGTTTCACCTGAGGATCCCAATTATAGAACCATAAAGGTTGGAGAAGACCTCTAAGATCATCAAGTCCAACCGTTGAAACAAACAAAACAGCTGGGTCAAGCCTACAGCCACTCACACTGTCACTGGATTTATTGGGTTTGTTCTTGCTTTTAGGACTATTTCTGTACAAAGCACTAGAAACAAGCTGCAGGTGATGTCACATCAACGTTCAGAGGCGTGTTAGCACGCTAGACACACCTAAGAAAACAAGGAGAGCTGGATTTTCATCAATACAGAGCTGCAAAAGAACTGGGACAGCTCGAGAGCAAACCGGAGGGAGAACAGGGATTGAAGAAACACAGGAAGCCCCTAAAATCCTGGAGGTGAAGAGATGGCAGATCAGACTGCACAGCCCTGAGGTCACTAGCTGCAGGCTGGCAGCGCCTCTCAGACACGGAGGCTACAAGGGAAGACACAGACAAACAAAGGCAAGTCTTCAAATATCTGCAAGGGATCAAATATTAAGGAGAGAAGAGTTTGCACACATCCTAAACAACTCATCACTAATCCACTTCCTCTGCCAGCAAGCAGGCAAAGTCGTGAGGAAATTTATTCAGCGTAAAACTACATATAAACCCTGAATCAAAAGTATTTCACCACCCTGGCAGGAAGCTGCTGTGAAGTCAGTTCTGCAGCTGGAGCTGCATTTTTTGCTCTCCACATCCCTTTGGATCAGCCAGGTGAGTGGTTGTCCCCGTGTCCCCCCCCAGGCTGGGCAGCTGTAGGGTTAACAGGGATGTGCTGAATCACAGAATCACAGAATGTTGGGG